GGACTTTGTATTTAGAAAAACAAGATGTCTTCCTGGGCTGAAACAATAAAACTATGGGAAATTAAAAGACTTATCAGCTTTTTGAGGAGTGAATCAAAATTAGAAGGCTTAAAACTTGACAATAACTTTTTTACGAAGCTTAGTGATGAAAATATTACTGGTGATTTATTTCTCAGGCTAACAGAATGGGATTTAAAGGAATACAGAATGACATTAAGATAGGTATTAGAACTTGAGGACTAGATTAAGGGACTGTGTGAATAATTAAACGTTTCTTATAGCTGTATTTTATTAATGAGATCCTCGTTATCCTAATAGTCTTATTTTATAAATCAAGATAAACGAGAAGGAGCATTAGGAGTTCACCTTGTGAGAGAGATCAATTCGAAATTAAGTGACCCCTCTAATTAGTTAGAATTTTTTATTTGCATTATATAGCGATATAGTCGTAATTTTTATGTATTGTAGGCTGGATTCTAACAATGTTTTTTTTATTTCTTAAATAAAGCATACATTTTATTCTTATCGTAAATCTTGAAAAAGGTCACGTATAATAATGTAATATAATTGCCTAACAGTCCTGTATTACATCTTAATTGCATATATATTGGGCAAATGCATTATGAATCGATACAAAAAAATCTATCATTTCTCTCTAAACGCTGAAACCAAATTACTTTTATATCTATAAACTAGCTTTACCTATAACTGCAATCAAGTGCATATTTTTTTGTAAGCACAAACTCATATATATAAAAAACTATATCTTCACAACTCTTTACACCTTCTTCTTCAAGCTTAATAACAGAAGAAGTTTCTTCACAAATGATGTCGGACATTGTTAAGGATTTTAATATGGAGGAGCTTATTGATTATTTGGAAAGAAAAGACCTGAAACTCTAGAAATCTCACTTTAAAATTTTACGCAAGAAAGAAATTACCGGTCTAACCTTTCTTAAGTTAACTAAAGAGAACTTTCGCAGTATTAGCTTCGCTTTAAGTCCAGCAACAGTTCTCGCAGAATTTATTGAGAGTCTTGGTCAAAAAATAAGAAACTATTCTTCACTTAAATCTCTCGATGACTTGAAGGGAATATTACGTAAAAATAAGGTCAATGGGAAAGATATATTAAACATCAATCAGTTTACCCTAGTTAAAGTTGCTTGCTACAATTATTTTTAAAGGGATGCAAATATTGTAGCCTTAAACTGCAAATGGATTGCAATTTTTGCAGCCCTTTTCCAAACAATTGCAGCCACAACATTACCCCTAGTAGGTAATTAATTAATTTGTTAGCAAAGCTAATCCAGATAGCTATATTAACTTTATTTTTCTCTGTAGTTTTCGAGGAGATTAGTGATAATGATAAAGCATTTGAACATTGTATAGAGAACATTATCTTAAAGCTTTCAAATGTGGAGACCATGACTGATGCTAATGAGATGACATGCTATTAATTTATTTCAGCTATATTATATGCATCCATCGCTATAGCTAAAAAACTCACCTTTCAAGATATATTTATAGTTTTGCAGAAAGATGTTTTCAGTGAAAATGCTACTGGCTGAGTAGACTATGCGATCCAAAATTTGGAAGACTGAAGAAAAACTACGTAATATCAAGATTGATTATATGTAAGTACGTCTATTGCACAGATCTGTTTTTTAAAACACTAAGCTGAAAGAGATTCAATAATATTAACATATTATATTTTTCTTAGAATCTGGCTCAGCTTGAAAGTAAGTTCTAGATAAATAAGAAAAAGCAGACTGCAGATCAAGCATTTAAGATGACTATTTTGACTATATCTATGGTATTGTGACCATAGATACAGAGTGGCATTTTATCATATATACTTCAGATGGCATCTTCTCCATAAGCGGTAGTAAATATCAGATTAATCTTACAAAGTTCGCAGTTAAAGATAATCTTGAATTACTTTGAAGTAATATGAAAAGGGTAATCAGCATAATTTTAGAGTTGTTGAAGGATCAGATTAGTGTAGATAGTTCTCCATCTAGCAAGAGAGCTAGGATCAAAAAATTTATCAAAAAATAATATATATCACGGTTACGTTCCAAATCTTGTATTTATTTTTTGCATGTAATAATAAAATTTTTCTTAGCATTTTTCTGAGATCACATGATCCTGAAAATCTGGTGACTTTATAATCTATTTCTCAATGATACAGTTTCTATATAATTATATATACTAACTATTTTTTGAATATTTCACTTCTTATATAAAATTTATCAATAATGACATCTGAGCTTGAAGTATTGAAACAGTATATCATTGAACTTGAGGCTAAGAATATTAAGCTTGAAACTGAAAAAGCTGAACTTTTAAAGCGGATTATAGAGGAGAATACTAAACGTGATGTTAGAATTGAGAAATTGGAGCAAAAAAATAAGAAGCTTGAGACCAGACTTGCAATAGTGAAACAGGCTTCCTTACCAGTAGAAGAGCAGACGTATAATGATAATCCTTCTAACAATAGTACATCTAACTTTAATTCAATTACAAAGTATTATGAGAAACCATTGGTAGATGTGGAAACAGATAATTCCTTTCCTAAAGAGGTTTGCTATAATAAACAAGAACTGGTGATGACGGTACCTACCAACTCTGCGAAGTATCTTAACGGCAAACCATTGGAAGAGAAAGATATAGATAGTTTATTGCTTAAGGCTCATAAGAAAATCATTAGTAGTAAAATAAAACGACGCAATAAGGAAAAGAAGAATGAAAAAAATGGGCAGGGATTGATTTAAGAAATCTCTTTATCTATGCACAAAGACAATCATGTGATTAAAATTTCTGAGATCACGTGGTCTTGCAAATCTGATAATTCAGATGCATTAGTGTTTTTATTTTATGGGACTACTATGATAGAGATATCTCAGCATTTGATCCAGTTATGTGATAAAATGCTTATTGCAAAAGAGCACAGATTAGAAGCAAATTGAGAAGAAATATTATGCTGATACCACTATAAAAGAAATTTTATATTTCAGTTGGAGGCCTTGTGTGATAAAAATAAAATTGGTGAAAAGAAGACAAGAAGTATAATATATGATGAAGTCGTGAAGCAAATTAATATCCTTCGTAAGAAAAAATCTCAAGATATAGGGGTGTTACTCTTAAACATAACAAGAGATAGTTTGCGTAAAAAAACTCAGAGAGCTGAGAAGATCTACAAACTTCTCGAAAAAATAGGATTGGATAAAATCCAGTATATCAAGTCATATAATGTGAATGAAATATCAAAGTATACTAATGATAAAATCCAAAAGATTATGGATTATTTCTCAAATAAGCCCAGTATGGATTTTAATGAGGATCGGGACAATTTATTAATGATAATTTTTCTAATCAAACTGATACATCAGAGATGCAAGCGAATCCTTTAGTTTCAATGAAGGTAAGCAAATTAACAGTACCTATCCCTTTAACCAATGACTCTAATTCTTCTGATGATTCCAAAGAAGTCAGCCCAAGCAATTTACTCGAAGCTGTAGACGATTACTATAAAATGATCTTGGAAGAATATGCGAAGGATTGTGAGTATTTTGATAAGAAAATTGATTTCACACCCTAGTTAGTGAAAAAAACAAATGAAGAAGTTGTTTTGTAATCAGAGGAAGAAATAAATAAAAGTAGGTTAGACAACGAAAATAATTCTAGTGATTCTAAAAAAGAGATGTACTGGAGGGATGAATCAGATGATAATGGATATAATGGTTACAGTGGATATAATAAATATGGTGAATATGATAGAGGTTATTATTATCATAATAGAGGATATGAAAGAAAAACCTCCCTAATGATGAGTCCTATTATCTTACTGTAACTGCCTAAAAGAATTATCAAGAGGATTATATGCTCGCATAGACTGGATTATCATATAGTTTTTTTCTTTTTTTGAATCACGTGGGTAGCTTAGAGGGTTATGTGAATCGATTACCTAAAATGCGTAAAAGATATTTTTGCTAAAAGAATAGAGATTGTGTGACATAAGATTTTCTTATATAAGCTACTTTATTCGTATTTTTTTCTAACGTTAAATCATATCTTCTGAAGGGTTTCAGCATACTCATGATATATCGCAGTGTAAAGAAATATTGGTAATAAAAAAAATACTGAAGACGAAGCTCTGGACAAGACATTGCGTAATTAAAGTGGGAATACTTATTTCATTCAGGTGTGGAAGTATATTTACAAGGAAGTGTCTTCAGAGCTATAAACTAATACCTAGCTAATATCTTTTCATTCTAGGGTTTGAAAAATCTCTTAAGCATCATGAAGGCATAAATGAAATGGATTATCAAATAATGTTAAGAAGAAGCAATGAAAAAACAGAGGGTTCAAGGGTATTTTAAAAATAATCAGCAGTAAAGCACTTCGCATGTATTTTAGTCTACAGACATTAGTATAGACGTCATATATCCAGCATCATGTAATTTATTTTTAGCAGTCTCAGGACTAGGCTCAATATACTGCAAATAAAAATGTTTAGGGTACTAGATGACCTGCAAATATAGTCAATTATTTTTCTCGTATAGAAGGTGATTGGTGTGATTCCTTTGGAATCTACATACTAATTTTTTATTTCTCAAAAGTATGCATATTAATACAGGGTAATTTAGAAAATCTGGATCAGCTAATTATTGGGTAATATGATTTTTAGCGAAGATTCAAGAACTTTCACGTTTTGCGATGATCGTAACTCTTAACTGTAAAAGAGTCTTAATTATAAAAACTGAGTGTATTGAAGGAGAATAGTTTCTAGTAAGAAAAAAATCAAACCAAATAACTTTTACGCATTTACAATTGAAACAAAATTCTATGCATACTCTCAAAAACTCTAACAATCTTACTTGAACCAATTTCTCATCTATCTTCGCAAAATGCTTTCAAACTCTGATATATTTTTGATTGTACTCTTCAGCATCATAATTATAATCTATGAAATACTAATCTGAGGTGTCATAACAATAGAGATGCTTCAAGGCATTTTTTCAGGAAATGCCATAATATATATAATATTTATGGTGGTGATTATATTTTTACGCAAATATCTATCTTCAGTTCAAGCAAAATCACAAGTCGCTAAACTTGAAAAATTAATATTAGTGTTAAATAATGAAATATAAAAAATGAAAGGAGAGGTAGAATGGGATCGTGTATCATAAGGTAATAAATATTCTGATCTTACAGTTATATTTTTGCATATATTCTCAAAGGTAAAGAGGTACTAACTTTTTATTATCTATCATTAGGTTCGTCTCAATTCTCTTCTGGTCATATATCTACCAGTCAATATTCAGAATATCTTGATGAAGTCCAAACTTTATGGGTGGAATTTACAGTCCTATTTAATTGAAGAAGAAGAAGGGAGAGACGCTTACACACACAATTATACAATGTAATTTCTCAAGAAATTCATCTAAGCTCAGTGACTTTGGTGAGTTTTTACCACCATTAAAAAACTCTGAGGACTACTTCCTTAAATAAAATCGAAGAATGGGTTGAAAGAGAAGGGAGGAGATATTCTAGTAGTAGCAGTAACAGTAGCAGTAATAATAGCGATAATAGTGGCAATTAGTAGAGCTAAAGAATAGGAGCAGTTATTGTCTTTCGAGACGGACTTTGAGTCTGACTGCAAGTGTTCTAATATATCAGACTAATTGCCTAATGCAACTATATGATATTTAGAGCGTATTCTTCCATATAACTCTGTGAAAATTTTATTTTTATTATATCAAAATGTGTTTTATTTTTAGGTGATACTATAATAAAATATTTCATTCGCTTTACAATCTATTGCATCACACATACAGTCATGAAAAAATACAAAATTTATTAAACTAACATAGCTATTTACAGATATGAAAAAAATTCTGCTTTAATATAGATTAGCAAAGTAAAATAAATGATCTTCTTTGTTATTAAAAAAATCACTCTTGGTGGTTTGGCTTATTATAATTAATAAAAATATTGATTATTTTAGCACTTTGAGAGAATAAGAGCATCACAGATTTTGAATCAGAAGAAGGTGTCATTAGACGTGATATATTAGAAGGAATTGCTTAAGGTATTTTTGAAACAGATCCAGTTCTTAAAGCAGTATTGGATTCCAAAGCAGATGATGACATTAGTCTGGGGATTCTTAATGATTATGATCTATTCAGTGTATTAGATGATGATGATAGATTTCTTAAGTTACATTGTATTCCTAGAAACAATAAATATTTTAGGAAGAATATTCTATATTTACCAAAGTAAACATGAATATCAGAAAAACAAATATCAGGTTCTTTCTAAAATTCTGTAGAGAATTCTTCATAATATTTTTCTTCAATTAGACTTCTCTTCTTCTTTTTAGTTACTACAGTAGTTAATGGACTTCCGCTTCTGTCTCAGATCCCTTATTAGTTAATAGTTAGTTTTTTAAGAGACTCTCAGCTTCTGCCTTAGCTTTCTTATAGGCTAGGATCATCTATATTTTACCAAAAATATCAGATTAGAGTCAGGTTAAGTATAAGTAACATATCTTTAATTACTCGATTATCATATTACTTACATAGTATTCCCAAGTTAGAGCTAAGAATTTCTTATTACAATCTTCTTCAGTAAAGTAATTGATATTATTTGCTTAGTTAATTTCATTCGTAATCTCATCCCAAAAGTTCCTTTTATAACAATTAGAGGTTCAGTGATATTCTTCATTCTTATTTTTATATTCATCAATAAGCATTCAGGTTTGTTTTTCATCCTATTATGCAGACATTTTTAAGTTTATGAGAAAGGAAGAGGTAAAAAGACTTGCTTATATAAGACATGGTTGGAGCTTACTTTAAGTGAGATGGGGACTGAGTAAGATTAAATTAGCTTCGTATATAGTCAGCGCTTTAATTTTCATAATGATTAATCGAAAAATAATAGTGACTTAGTTATTACACGTGCAAAATATGATTAGCTGATCCTCGTAATTTAAGTTGTAAGAATGTTGCGAAAAAATGTCAGAAATTGACTAGGAGCTAAGGTGATACAAAATTTAGCTGAAAGCGTTATGCATAATTTAGCTGAATCAAAAAATATAAATATCTGTTTTCTACCTGAACAATCGAATAAAAATGAATATAGTTTTATTATAGTATAATATCGCTAAATCAGCTAAAATTAATAAAACACTATAAAATCATTATAATCTGTAATAATCTACTAAAATAGTATTATGGATTTAGATAGTAAAACCTATTTTAAGCTAATTGATACAAACAATACTTATGGAGGTTTTGAAGAATATATAAGAATACTTGATGCAATATTGCCTTTAATAAAAAGACATGATCACAAAATACCAGAAATATGATGTTTTCATATCTGTGATCTATTTAGGAAAATACTTGAAGAGAATCCAAGAATTCTTTCTAAGAATGGATATATTATAATGTGTGGAAAGCTTTATGAAAATGATAAAGTCCATACTAGTAATCCAACTGATTATATATATTGTAGTGTATGTAACTCCTTAATTTACATATCTAGAAGGTATATATATAATCATCGTAATCAAGATAACCACTTAAAGAGATGTATTTCTGAAAATACTATTTTGAATGAATATACAAGAAGAAAGAAAATTCTCCAATCTATTGATACAAGGAAATTTCAGATCTGGTAATATAAACAATACATATTATAAAAAGAGGCTAAAATTAATCGTCTCCGTCTAGAGCTTTTCTCCTAATCTGTCTTACACTTAGAAAAGGATAAGTTAGCATCAGTATCATATGATCATGATGGGAATTTTACGGTTAGTTATGAAAATTATGCACAATATAAAGCAACTGTAGCAAAAAATACTATGCCAAGTGCTCCAAATTTTGAGCCAGCTTATATTTCTAATGCTGGGCAAAAAATGGTTTTACTAATTTCTGTTATCAATAGTAATGATCAAAAATCTGAAGCACTAAATGGGGCAACTCCTCCTCCATTGCCAAAAAAGCCTGTTGCATTAATACGATGTAGTGCAAGTACGCCTAGCTTTATTGATATTGATGAATACTGGGCTTCTTTACGAAAAAAATGCAAGGAAATAGACCTAATATCTTTTAACTGAATAATAGTATTATTTATCTCAACTATATTCATGATATTATTTATTTTTTTGCAAAATGAATAACTACATAATCTGCCTTCAGAAAAATGAATTTGGGTTTAGTAATATGTAGTTTCTCAAATCGGCTACAAATCAATTAACCGCTAATCAGCAAATCTGTATAAATTTGAATAATAATATTCTATAGTATATGTTACTCAAGAATTCGCTAAAAATACTATAAATTAATAAAATCAATATAATTTGCTAAATATGATGGTTGTTACCTTGGCAAGTGCTATTAATATTAATATGATTATTGATAAAAAACAATGGCAGTTACCTAAGCCCATCAGTAATCATCCTGAATATAATATGGAATATTATAGAACATATTTTGAAAATTACTGAAGTGACATCGATTTCAAAAAATTCCTTGCTAATGAAAAAATCTATGATAAATTATCAATAATGAAAAAGGGAGAGTCTTCAGTGCAGTTAGGATTACGAGTTAAAAATATTCTTCAATATTTATTATCATGAAATAAAAATAGCATATACTATAGTTTCTGCTTGTTTGCAGAATTTAATGAAGGCAAATTTGACAAATTATATCATTCTTATTATCGTCCTAAAATTCATAAAAACAATATAGTAATCTGCTTTTATTGTTAGAAACTATTTCAAGTTAATGAAATAAAACCAATTAAGACATATTACCATGAATGATATAGATTCATTGAATTGATTGAAGCTAAGGATATTATATAGGGATATTGGGACCAAAAATGTTCTAATCCTTTAAGTGATCTTGAATGTGTAAGGGTTAAGCAACAAGCCTTTGATAAATTTAAGTATCAGGATTCTAAAAAGGATGAGCCACACTCATTGATTCCTTCAAGTGAAATATTTATCTCATCTATATATGCAAAACAAAATAACTTAAACCAGCCAAAAAGTACTGTGCTTAGATTAAAAGATAAGATAAAAGTCACGATTGTTTAACTGGTTTAACTGAATGATTCTGAAAAATATTTTAATTATAATCTATTACTTTCAACTGAAATATAATTTATTTATTGCGATATATTCTAGATGATCTTATACTACCTGCAGGATAAAAAATCTGATTTACCTATTCTGGATTAGATCCTCCAATATATTATATAACTATTTTAGTGAATTATCTATGAAACGATCTTGAGGATTCTTGATTGCGAGATGATATAACTATCAGTTTGAGAATTTCTATGCAACAGTTATCTAGCGAGCTTATAGAAATTACAAAAAAAGATCTGAATCTTTAACAAAATGAATTTAGAAGGTGGTGAGGAATAATAGTATTCCTGACAATATGAAGTTTTTAGGTATGGTTCCTCATGGTAAAACATATTATTTCATTAATAGAAAACTAATAGAATCTAATTATGTGATTGATCAATTTTATATAGAAAATCAGCATAACATTTATTTTACTACTATTTGGATGTATGAGAAGAGAGTCCAATTATTAGGATGATTAGCTTTTGTGACACACATACTTGTTAGGAAATTATTATATCAGCAAGGCTATATGGTTATTAGAGATACATATTGGCTTGACATGTTAAAATGGCTACAGAATCCCGAATATTATAGTATTCATAAAAAATATAATTATGAATTTTTCATCAGAATTTCAGAATACGTGACATATAAGAGTAAATCATTAGGAATGAAAAACTTATATGCGATTTATTGTTAAAATACATATATCGTATTTACAGGAAAAAGATATTAGTGTAAATTTTTCAGATTTAGATGATAATTGTGAGTTAATACGTTAAATTTTTCAGATCAGTCCTTGACTCAGATCCTAAATATTGTCTTAATAAAATAATATACTATTCAGCCATGTGAAACGCCTCAAGGCCAATGTATGTAGAAGAACAGTATGCAACATAAATAAAACGTATTTCTGATTCTCATTAAAGTATATATGATGTAATAAATAATACATCACAAATCATCTATAACTCTATGTGACTGCTTATGCGACAAATTAATTTTCATACATAAAAAATCGATCCCTAAAAATATTTCAAATTTTTTCCCTTATAACATTTGACCAAATAGTATTAATTGATATGTATTTTTGCTCTAGAAGGACAGGCTCTCTAACATTACCAATTCCAAAGCAGAATATATTTATATAATATTGTCAGGTTTTGGCGTTAACTATTAAGCATCAGATAAGCGAAAAAAATCCATATATGTATTGTTTCCAACGTCTTTGTAAATGTCAAAATCTTCAATGCACATTCTACATGCTCTTATTCTCAAACACAAAATTTTAGCGTAAGGTTTATTATATATTCTCCTATCCTTTTTCTAATATAAATGCGAATTAAAGTGAATATGAATGGAAATTTAAAAGGGCTAGGCACCTAATATTGGAGTTGAGTATTTTTATATCTTGTAAATTCTTTTTTTACCATGCCTACTGATTTAAATACTAAAATTTACAATTTCTTGTTAAACGTTGATTAAGAAGACATTACCACCAGATCTGTTATCTATTAAAGGATTGAAGATAATTCATGGATATCTCAAAACGAGCTGAAAAGTATTATTGAGCGGGCTGTAGCATTTGTGAAGAATCAATATAAACGAAACTCTTCACGTTATACTACTCTTCTCAAAGTTCTATCAGAGGTAAGATATCAAGTTTTAAGTTACTGGTAACTGGAATTTATATGAGTGATGAATAACACAGACAGTAATACTATTCTGAGGGAGAAAGTATAATAGACTAAATATCCTATTAGCCCACTTATAGGATTCTTTCCTCAGCAGTATAAAGAGTAGTTAGGCTATAGATGTATATTTAATTCAATATAGTTATTTTAGTGTCACATAAAGTCTTTATTTGAGTATTGGAATAGCTAATCATACGAGAATAGGGTTTTATTTTAATCTGACAGCGCATGCATTTTTGATAATTTTTTTAATATATATGTTTGAGCTAATTAATTGTATATCTGCGTTAGTTCAAAATTGACTTTAAAACAGTTTGTAGTTTACGTAACATTGACGCAGTAAAAATGAATGGAGAAAAGCCTTTAGTTCAGACAAAATTGAAAAAAATATCAAGGCATTAAAAGGCAAATTTAGAAAAAATATGTCACAGCTTTACTAATAC